GAGCAAGCCGCGGCAGCGGAGAGGAAAGTCAGGGAGAACAGTACCCAGCGGGTGTGCCAGGAGAAGCAAGGTGCGCCCGGGGTGCGGGGGCGGAGCGGCTCTCAATGGTACCCACAGTCAGTGTACTACCGGACGCGCTCTCCTGGAGGCCAGAGAACCGAGGCCGCCAAGAGCCTGTGTAACTGGACTGATACCGAACTCGGGGGTAGAACGGGAGGCGGAGGGAATGTGCAAGGATGGAAAAGGGCTACACCGTAAAATTTTGGTAGGGTATAGAGGGTGTTTTTGTTTGGATTGGTAATATTCTAGTTTTCAGTTATGTTAACTAGACCCACATTAATATTGCTGTCCTGTGGGAACCGCCACACGATTGGCTTAGAGGATGAGCTTTCTACATGATAGCACTTTTGTCTGAGGAACTGTTGCCATTGACGCTAATCCAAGTGTTCAGATTCTAAATGTTGTTAGGGGAGGGGGCTAGGGATTGGTGAATTATGTGTCTTTTCCTTGTTTAATGGCTGCAAGGATTTAGGGCTTCTCCCAAGGAAAGATAGATGAAGTAGAATGAAGATAAGTCTGGCCAAATAAAAAGAGGCCGCTTCTGGAGAGGTGGATGGTTTCACTGTAAAATATCTTTGGTTACCAAAACTAGAACTGGTTGAGCCTATGTCCTGAGAGACGATTGAAGGTAGGACTAGAAATTAGAAAATAATACTCACTGAAAGAGTTCTGTACAACAATTAGATTTCAGTTACAAAATATTACGTTTCGGAGTTTGGCAGATACTAGATCAAAGCAAGTTAAAGTTGAAAGGGATTTTGAAAATCATGTAGTCCAATATCCTCTTTTTACAGTTAAAGAAACTTGGACCACAGGACATTAAATGCCTTGCCCAGAGGTAAGCAGTTAGTAGCAGTGGTACAACTAAACTCCAATTTCTTAGTTTTTTATTTTTCTGCTACACTAGTCAAGGCCCTGTATTAGCAAAGAGCAGAAACCTAAAATCTAGGACTACCTTGATCACTTTAAACAAGAGATTTCTTTTAAACGGTCCATACTTCTCTAGTATCTCCTGTCCTCTGTCATGAAAACTCTTAACATTAGAATTTTCTAATAGTTAGGAGTCATCCAAAGATTTGGGAGAAAAATTGATAGGTCCAGAAATTGGACTCCATGGAAGAACAAGATATAGAGGGAATTCAAGTGTGATAGGTGGTAAGACTAAGGGATCTTCAGCTCTCAGGCTATGGCTCTACTTGATGCTTTTAGTATAAAATGGCATTCAGCAAAGCAGGATGATAATTGACATTAGATACAAATAAAATATTGAGAGATGTTTCTTAAATTTTGTTTAAATATTTTCAGTTGATTATGATATCAATGCCCACAAATATTGGAACGACTTCTACAAAATCCACGAAAATGGGTTTTTCAAGGACAGACATTGGCTTTTTACCGAATTCCCAGAGCTGGCACCTAGCCAAAACCAAAATGACATGAAGGATTTGCTCTCAGAAAACAAAGGAATTGAAGTGCCTGAATGTAGAAGAGAGCACAGACCTGGTTTAATAATAGAAGAACAGCACCAGTGTCATTCAAACAGCCTTGGACATAAAACACAGGCCCTTCCTGTGGAAGAGAATGTAACTCAGAAACTCAGTCACTTGGAAATCTGTGCTGATGAGTTTCCTGGATCCTCAGCTACCTATCGAATACTCGAGGTAACCTTTTCTTGTCCTGGTAGTGGGGTTAGTGAAGTTGTTATATTGTGCACATGGTCAGCATAGAGAGGCTGACCACAAAGCGATTTCTCTCTGATAAAGCTGACTAGACTTAACTCTCATGTTGGCCTGGAATCCTCTCCATTTGTGAACCAATGAAATGCCTTAAATGTAGACCAAGATATCTAGCAGTGTGGCAAATAAAGATAGATCACCTGAGGTGCTGGGAACATATTGCATCCAGTATGTAGGTCATGCTATACCTGTCATCTGGAAAAGAGTCCCAGGTCACAAGACAACTTCTGATACTTCTCTTACTTCTAATAAAATTGTAAAATAGAGAGTTCATTGGGATGGTGCCTGCTACTCAGATGTGGGAGAATTCTTGTCTTTCAATTTTGGATGGTGTTGTAGAGGCAAAGCTAGAGAGAGATGTCTAGGTGCGTACTGTAATGTAAATTCACAAGTGGTGACTACACACTCCACTGGGAGTTGATTCATCTTGGGATTGAGTCCTATGGTATGACTTTATACTAATTCCTTACCCGCTTCCCCAGGCAGAACATGACTTTTGCCTTTCTCTCTCTACCTCATAGTTTTTATGAGAACTAATTGAGATAATGTTTGTGAAGTGGCTTAAGAATGGTGTCTGGCACATAGTAAGCCCTTAGCAAATGGTCACTTTTTATTATTACCATACCCAGCACTGTATTTAGGGCAATGTAACCATGGCTGCCTTTCATGAATTTTTCAGCCCAGTCTGTTAGAAACGTTTTTCCATAATATAGTGGATTTCAGTAAGAAAGTATTTCATCTACAGGATCATTTGCTAGAATTCAAAAATTAAAAGCAACCCATGCCCTTTTTTCCAGACCAGCTCCCTTCTGTTAATGAAAGCTCATGCTTTTGTCTTTTATGGCTACCTCTTTAAGGGTTTTTGAGGTCAGGGTCAGGAAATGTGATGGGTATTGTTTAGCTCTGGTCACTACCATCTTCCCTAGGATAATTAGGCAAGATTATATATTTTTGATTATCTAGCTTCAAGGAATTCTTTGGAAAGTTCTATGATTAATAGTTCATTTCTGTCTGCAGGTTGGTTGTGGTGTGGGAAACACAGTCTTTCCAATTTTGCAAACTAACAAGTAAGTTTGTTGTAAAGTTTATAGGACAGCAAAGAAGAGAAAAATGAGAGGTTTATCAAAAGTCTAACTTGATCAATGTAACAGTAGTTATTGGAGATTTAGATTTCTGCATTATCTGTTTATGGATTGTTTTGATTTGATTTGTAAGTTAACTTTGTTATCAGGGAAATTCGTGAGATTTAAAACTTGTTACATTGTTAATATATGGTGCTTTTGCTATTTAAACTCTGCTACACAGGAAAGAGAATAGGCATAATCCAGTTTGTAATGGAATTCTTCTGCTCTTTTTTCTGCCCATTTCAGTGACCCAAGACTATTTGTTTACTGCTGTGATTTTTCTTCCACAGCTGTAGAACTGGTCCAGGTAAGTGCAGTGGCTTCTTTCAGTGATTTTCACCGATTGAAGGGTAAAGGTCTCCTAAAAATCAAGGTCTCTAGCTATTTTCTTATTGTAATATAGCCTGAAAGCAAAAAATTTACTGAAACAGCCTGGAGTAGAGGAAAGGGCCAGACATGAATACAGATTTCACACCAGGTTAAATTGGCATAAATTTGAGGGCATAGCAGAAGGATAAGAGTGTCCAGGTTAAAATTGTGTGTGTTGTCATTTATGAACATGTGTGTAAACATTCATAAATGGAGAGACCTCTCCAAACTTATTTTTTAAGGATTGAAATGAGGTGATTATTTCACTCAGGGTTCTTTGAGTTAGTTGTAAGTCACAGAAACATCTGGACAAACTCAACCAATAAAGTTTCTATCACAATACCTCCCTGAAGTTCGTGGTGTCTTTCTCTCTCATTGCCCAGTGTTCATTTGCCTTTTCTATTTGTTTTCTCTTTGCAGACTAGTTTTGTGTAGTAGGTTTTTCCTGGTTTTGAACATGGCGTAGACATGCTTGCCCCTCCTGGTCTCTTACAAGTCCACCTTGTTTGGTTTTCACAACTGCGCCAGAATGACTGTGTCCCTACTGCAGAATCCTCAGAAAGAATCTGGTTGACTCAGCCCAGCTGATAATCTATGTGTTCTTTTTGAATTAGCTGTGGCCAATGAGGAACAAAGTCACATTTTTGGAGAAAAGAGATGTGGAAAACAAAGTTACCCTAAAATGTTTCTGTTATAATAAGTTAATTTTCCACATTTAGAGAAATAGATTTTCCTGGAGAATTCTGTGATCTGTATAATATGCCATAGTTAGATTGGGAGTTGTTTTAAATCCTGCTTTTTTGATATGTTTTGTCTTTCTTTATGAGGTTTTTCTTTTCCCTCTTGGTCACTTCCTGATTATTTTCCAGTCCTCACGTCCAAGTCTCTACATCAGAATAAAGAATGAAAGCAGGACATGGTTCCATAGTGTAGCGGTTAGCACGTCTGCTTTACATGCAGAAGGTCCTGGGTTCGCACCCCAGTGGAGCCATGGTCCGTGGTCTATGGCCATGCCACCCTGAACAAGCCTGATGTCTGATCTCAGAAGCTAAGCAGGGTTGGGCCTGGTTAGTACTTGGATGGGAGACCACGTAGGAAGACCAGGTGCTATAGATAATAATAATAATAATAAAGTTTTTTAAAAAAGAATGAAAGAGAAATTGGGAACATTTCATTTTAAAAGCTCCAGTTAGATTCCTTAGGCTCTTCACTAGAGTTCATAATTCTTAGCTTTTGAGTAAGGATGCGATTAAGGATGCATGCCTTAGTGAAGTAACTGCAGTTAACACGTAAAGCAAAGTTAGTTTTCCTTGAAGCCCTGTGAACATTTTCTAATGTGTGCGTGTCTCCTAACCGCCTGCAGACAAATTCAGCATATGATCCTTTTCGGTGTTACGCTTTTGTTCATGATTTGTGTGATGAAGATAAGAGCTACCCAGTTCCCAGTAATAGTCTCGATGTCATCATCCTCATATTTGTTCTTTCCGCAATTGTTCCAGACAAGTAAGTTTGAGGTCCTTTAACCTGGACATTAGGGTTGGGCCCTAAATGGAAAGGATATTCTGATAGAAAGGAGGAAGCCACTCCATCCAAGGTGATATAAGC